GCGCTACCACGCCCGGCTGATTTTTGATTTATTGTAGAGATGAGGTCTCGCTGCCCAGGCGGGTCTTGAACCCGCGGGCTCAGGCAATCCACTCACCTCAGCCTCCCAAAGACGCAGAGGGTTTACAGGTTGAGCCACCGAGCCCGGCTTATTTATATATTTTTAAAAGAAAAGCTGAATTCAAAGCTGAAGAGCTAGGTTATATGAATTCAAAGCTGAATTCAAGAATTCAAAGCTGAAGAGCTAGGTTATATGAACAATTGTTTGTAAGGAGTGGGTTTTTGCATTTACATAAATGATTTTTTTACACTATGCAATATTTTCTTTTAAATTTAGTTTTTGATGATGAAGAAGAAAGCAAATTGAGCTATACAGAAATTCATCAGGAATACAAAGAACTAGTGAGTACTTTTTTCACTGATTTTTAAAGGTAATTAAGATAATATTACTTGTAGCTTTTCTAAATGTAAGAAATGGATTTTTCATTAAATTTTACAAAAATTCAGTCTGCCCTAACAATTCTGCCAATTATATCAGTTTCCACAGGTTCTCTGAACATCTCATTCTTATGGCTTCTTAACTCTTTTGCTCTAGAATCTAAGGAATGATTTTACAATAACTATTTATGGGTTCTTGCATCTCATCTTTAAATTTTATCCTTATTTTGCTGATGCATCCAGGGATGTATTAGTCATTTAGTTGTGATTGTTTTGTGATTTTTAAAAATGCCTCTGGGAAGCAGAAGAGTTGAACCACACTGAACTTCATATTCCTGACTTCAATCATTTCTAGTTAAGGAAATACAATTTCATGTGATTTTCTGCAAAAAAATTAACTTTTGTTTCTTGGTGAAAGACAATGTCACTGCCACATAATACAATATTATGTAGATTAATATTTGTAAAAAAAAGCATTTTCCTATATTTTTAAACTCAATATTTAATATGCAAACTGTTATTTAGAATTTTTCTATGTAATTATAAAAGTTAAATTTTCTCTTTTAGGTTGAAAAGCTGTTAGAAAATTACCTCAAAGAAATTGGTATTAATGAAGATCAATTTCAAGAAGCTTGCACTTCTCCTCTTGCAAAGACCCATACATCACAGGTTTTAGCTTTGTATTATTCTGCTAACATATAGTTTTAACAAAAATACTGTTAAATTTGAATGCTTGATTGTGAGAGGTGAAAAGATAATTCATCACGTGGAGTTTTTTCTTTGTTTTTAGAAATGATCATTTAAGACATTAGTGAACTGATACAATTAAAAATGAGCTTTCTGAACTCAGAACTATATAATAGGATCACAGGGTTTATACAAACATTTTAAAAAAAATAAATAAACTGTTTTATTTATATGCAGCTCTGTTCATTCTGCACTTGCTCCTTTTTAAATCTTTTTAGAGCCTCAGTCGAAAGTTCCTGGAAATACTCTCTGCTCTTGGAACTACTTTTGTTGTCTCATTAGTGGTGCAGTGCTGGGCCGAAGTAGCAATATGTATATTTATAAACTAATGTGTATTGAGATGTGTATTGAGGGCTTGTCCTAGTTGATGTTTTAGGCACTTGACATGTATTATTTCATTTAGTCTTCCTGACACCTCTTAAGAAGTTGGTACTTTTTAACTTTCATTTAGAAATGAGGAAACCAAAGCACAGACATGTTACGCAAGTAAGTCCAAGGTCCACAGCTAAATAAATAGTAGTAGTATAGCCATTATGCTTGCTCAGAGGTTGAGAATAGGGATGTGTTGTTACTACCCAAGTAGCCTTCTTTTCAAAAATTTAATCCTATCTTCTACCAAATAATTTCTTAGCAAGATATAGTAAGAATTGTCTGTGATGTGATCCCAAGTTACATTTTTAGTCTTGATCTCCTGCTGTAGTTTTCCAGTACATTATGTACTACTTTCATTTCAGGTCATTCCCTCTTTTAAAAAAATTTTTAATTTTAAAGATGTAAGGTACAATTCGGGGTTAGGTATACAAACATTCATTATGCAGTTACCCTTATTGATGAGGTGCTACCCCCCCCCCCCGTCATTCCATCTTATGAAAACATCTGTGTTTTGCCTTTGCTCATAATTAGTCCCTTAACCTGGGATGTACAGTCCTGTCCCAACCAACTCCTCCATTCCTCCCTAGCCTACCGAAATTCTTCTCATCATCAAGACCTTGCTGAAATGCTTCTTTTATAGCAGCTTTGCTGCTGCTTCTAGTTACACTAGTAGAACTCCTTCTACTTTACTAGCAACTTTTAAATTGATATCATTGGTACTCTGCCTTGAATTATAGTTTCCTACAAGTCTGTTTACCCTACTAGGTTGTAAGTCCTTTGAGCTGTTTTTAGTGTCTTTGCACTCCCAGCTAGTAGAACAGAGATGAAAACTTAGTTCTTTTTTTTTTTTTTGAGTTGTAGTCGCCTGACTAGAGTGCAGTGGCCTCGACCTGCTGGGCTCGACCTGCTGGGCTCCGGCGATCCTTCCGCCTCAGCATCGACCTGCTGGGCTCCGGTGATCCTTCTGCCTCAGCCTTCCAAGTAGCCGGAACTACAGGCGCGCGCTACCAGCCCAGCTAATTTTTTGATTTATTGTAGAGATGAGGTTTCGCCAAGTTGCCCAGGAGGGTCTCGAACCTGCGGCTCAGGCAATCTACTCACCTCGGCCTCCCAAAGCGCGGGATTACAGGTTGAGTCACCGAGCCCGGCAAAACTTAGTTCTTAATAGGTAATTCTCAATAAATATTTGTCAAATTATCTTGTTAGTATGGCCTAGAAGAAGTTGCTTAGACTACTGTTTAGTATAGCTCTTCCGGGTGTAGTTCTTTTTTGTACAACTTCTCATTTGAAGATCACTTCTAATTCTAGAGATAGAAAATCTTTACTTTTTATTTTATTACTATTATTTTTTGAGTTGGGGGTCTCATTCTGTTGCCCAGACTGGACTGCAGTAGCATGATCATGACTCACTGCTGCCTTGACCCCTTGGACTCAAGAGAAGCTTCTGCCTCAGCCTTCCACCGTAGCTGGGGTTACAGGCACGTTCCACCCACACTTTGCTAAATTTTTTAATTTTTTGTAGCCTAAACTGGTCTCGAACTCCTGGGCTCAAGCAGTCCTCTCACCTTGTCCTCTCAAAGTGCTAGTATTAGAGGCATGAGCCACTGTGCCCAGCTGAAAATCTTTAACATAACATGACATTAAAATATATTTAAATATTACTGTTGTACCCACATTAATGTAAAAAATACTATTTCATTAGTTTATAATTCTGTCAAATATAATTATTTATAATTATTCTATAATTATATATTATATATATCATATACATTATAATTAAAATTTTTTTTAAATTTGAATAAATAGAGGCAGGGTTTTCCTCTGTTGCCCAGACTGGTCTTGAACTCCTGGCCCCAAATGATCCTTCTGCCTTGGCCTCCCATAGTGCTGGAATTACAGGTGTGAGCCACCATGCCTGGCCAGTTGTTTATAATTCTATAAAGCAAAAGATGTTTTACAGTTTATCAATAGGTTTTATTCTATATGTACCTTCATTTTAGTGTAAGAAATAACCACAGACTTAGTTTCTTTTCTTTTTTAATTGAATAGGAAGGATTTGATTGCAAAGTGTTAACTGGTATTTAAATTTCTCTTAAAACATTGGTGTTTGTTTTTGTTTTCTTTCTTTTTCAGGAATACTTTTCTGTTTTGGTCAAATTTGTTCTTAGCTAAACTTTTGTGAATGAGCCTGAATTACTTTGTGAATGAAGATGTTCACAATAATAGTAAACACAACTATCTTTTGTTGTATTATCAGGATAACTCTCATTTATAAAGGTAGATGTCTGTAGTTATAAAATACTATTTTTAGATCAAGATCAACACTTCTTTCTCTTTTATTCTACCATATACCTTTTGATTTATTTAGAATTGATTGGTAGTACAGTTTTATTATAGATAAAGAAGCAAACCTTTGAAACAGACATACATGTGTGTCCTGGATCTTTCATTTACTAGCTGTAAGGCTTCAGACAAGAGCTGTTTTAGTTTTACTTTCTTAACTATTCTGATTCTCAGTTTTCACCTCCATGAAAAAGGGATATATTCTACTTTTAAGGATTTTTTGTGAAGTTTAAAGAGATACTGTATATAAAACATTTAGCACAATGGCTGGCATATATCAGGTGGTCTATAAATAAATGGAAGCACCTCTTGATTAAAGGTATATTTTGGTGGTTGATTAGCAGTGTGCTAATTAGGCCAGGGTCATGGGTTCAATCCCTGTGTGGACTAGTTAGCATTACTCTCTATTGGAACAAACTTTTACTTACTAGATACCAATTGGCAACACTGAATCAGCACAAGGCTGGCACCATTTCAGAAAAACAGGTTGAAGTACGTTATTTACTGCTTGGCAGCAATCTGATCTTCATATATGAAGATCAGAATGTTGATTCCAGTATGCCAATATGGGTTGCCTAAGAGTGAACTCAACAAATCAGTTACTTGCTCTGGATAATTTAAGAGGTAATTTTTATTTTGTTTTGGTTTGCTTGGTTTGGTTTTAATGTTCTAAACCAGCTGACAATTCCCATTAAATTGTACTCCAAAAGCAGAATTGAAAGATTCTTTTCACTGGTTTGGTCATCATTAGAACTAGATCCTGGTGAACTCTTTGTGTATTAAAGCCAGCAAGAGTGGCAAGGAATGCATCAGATGAAGAGCTCTAGTGAAAAAACCAAAAATACCACTGACCCAACTCTTTAACAGCATGTTCTTCTCTTATATATGTGTGGTTTCTAGAGAAATGTCCTTGAATTAGGATATTCTTCTAAATACTTCCAGAAAATATGGTAATATAATAAATACTGACATTTATTATTTCAGTTGCCTTGAGCTGAATTTTGAATTTTGTGGTACTTTCCAGTTGAAATAGATAAAAATTGACTTTGTTCATTGTTTATGATTTTTTTTAGTGAGAATAAAGCTTATTACTAATTTCTGTTTATGGCCAAAGTCAGTGAATTCCAATGGCAAGAGATAACAGATATTCTTGTTTTTTACTTGATTTACTTTGACCTTTATAAAATGGAAATAACACTTTTAGAAACATTTGTTTTATGATAATTAGTAATTTGGGGAAATTGTACTTTTTTCCCCTATAACTTACACTGTTGAAGGATTACATAAGTGGTGTTACCATTTTGTTTCTAAAAATACACACATGTAATAATACTATTTTGTATAAGTGCTAGAAAGATTTTTAAAAATTAATAGGCTTTATTTATTTATTTAGAGTTGAGGTTTCTCACTCTGTCATGTAGGTTGGAGTACAGTGTCACAATCACTGCTCACCATAGCTTTGACCTACTGGGCTCAGGTGATCTTCCTGCCTCAGCCTCTCTAGTAGCTGGAACTTCAGGTATGTGTCACCACACTTGGCTCTTTTAGAATTTTTTTGTAGGGACAAGGTCTCACTATGTTGCTTAGGCTGGTCTCAGGTTCCTGGGCTCAAGCAGTCCTCCCGCCTTGGCCTCCCATGCCCATGCCCAACCAGGGTTCAGTCTTTATGCTGAGAATATAGCAAGCTATGATTGCACCACTGTACCCCAGCCTGGATGACAGAAAGAGACTGTCTCTTTTAAAAAAAGGTTCTTTGCACTTTTGGGATACTAGTCCTTTATCATCAAACATTTTGCAAAATCTTATTTCTGTGGCTTATCTTTTCATTCTCTTAACAGTGTCTTTCACAGAGCAGGTTTTTTTATTTTAATGAAGACTCATTGTAAACGTGATACATTTTTTTCTTTTATAGATTGTACTTCTGGTGTAATGAAGACTCATTGTAAACTTGATACATTTTTTTTTCTTTTATAGGTTGTACTTCTGGTGTTGTATCTAAGATATTATCAGCAAATCAAAAGTTATCTAGATATTCTCCTATGTTAGCTTCTAGAAATTTTATAGCTTTGTTTTTATATTTAAGTCTGTGATGTATTTTGAGATAATTTTTAGGAAAGGAGTAAGGACATTGTTTACAGTTATTTTTTAGCATGTGGATGTCCAGTTTGTTCCAGCACCTTTTGCTGAAAAACTGTTCTTTTCTCCCT